CAAATAAACGATAACTGATTTAATGAGCCATTCGCAGTTTCACAGTATAAAGTGCTTATACTTAGACATGCATGGCTTAATCTTTGAGACAAGCATATGACTACTGGCAGAATCAACCAGATACCTTGGTACATAGAGGACCCTGCCCCGGGGTGTTACCCGCCGAAGTAGAGCCCACAAAGCCCCCGAAAGGGCGGTATGTTTGTAGGTATTAAACTCTGGAAGGGGCGCACAAGGCGCCCGGTCACAGCGACGCCCCCGGCGTACCGGCGGCACACATGCGACCATCCAATTGCCCACACTGTGTAGCCCTCCAGGAGCCGGTCCGCGCGCAGAACCCCGGCAGGTCGCCCTTGCGGGCGCTGCCAGGCTGCGGCATACGGTCCTCGAGTGAGGGGTCCGGCCCCACGGACACGCCGACGAACGGCGGCTACCGCGGGGCGGCTCCCCTCCGGAATCTTAGGTATCAGGACTGGCCAACGGCCACCGATCCACAGACCCCATCGGCGCCGGGTGCGGGGCACCCGGGCTTCGGTCGCCGTTGTCCGCAATGAAGAGGACGCCAGCGGTAGACTGCTCCCACGACTCGAGCGAGGCCCGAAGGACCCAGGCGCTGTGAGCCATGGAGAGGCAGCCTGTCTAGCAGGGAAGATGTGGACGGGAGGCCATCAGGAACACCGCGAAACGTGCCCCGGGAGGGGTGCTTCCGGCTGTCAAGTTGACCTCCTTTCCACGTAGTACCACCGGCCTCACTTGGGCACACATCGTGCGCACAAACGTTGAGGTGTCCGAAAGTTGCTGGGGGGGGACGGTTTTAGTATGGGGTGGCCCGTGCGTCGGTCACTTTTCCCATACAAAGTGGGCCACCCGAATTTGCCCCCAACCCGGGCAGATAGCGTACTTAGGCGTTTTGGCCCACCCGGCCAACTGGTCTGGCCAACTGGTCTGGGCGGCCAACTGGTCTGGGTGGACACCTCGGCCGACCGTTGCGGCGAGCCCAATGGTGACATGTGGGATCATATAGTGACGGCAGTCGGGGCATAGAGCCGGGCTATGGCCACCAGGAGGCCCTGGCCCGCCCGTGGGCCGAGTTGGGGGAAAGGGTGGGTGCGCCGGGGAAGGCGGTGGTGGTTATATATATTTGTGGGTGCAGGTGTCGAGGCGGGGGAGGTAGGTCGGGGCTGGATGCGGATGTATGGCCATCTGCCTGTTTGGCTTCCACTGATATATATCCGCGTGTGTGGATATATATATATGGCCCTGACCCGCAGGCCCTATCTACCCGCCTCCGTATTCCCCCCTATTCCCCCCGGGTCCCCTCCGCGCGCCAACTGGTCTGGCGGTGGGCCACCCCAGGTCCATTCGACCAGGCACCAGACCACCCCCGGACCTTTTGCCCCAGGCACCGGACCGCCCCGTGCCTTTTCGGTCCGGCGCCCACCCACCCCCGGACCTTTTGCCCCAGGCACCGGACCGCCCCCGTGCCTTTTCGGTCCGGCGCCCACCCACCCCCGGACCTTTTGCCCCAGGCACCGGACCGCCCCCGTGCCTTTTGCCCCGGGCACCACACCCCCCGGACCGTTTTGCCTCGCGACCTAGGCCGCTCGCATCACGTGATCACTCCCACCCGGCCTCCCAAGGCACCCTCCCGCGCCAACTGGTCCGCCAGTGGGCCTTTGTCCCGTACCTCGCCCCTACCCGCCAGGCACCATCCACCTCCCTGTATTCTCCCCAAGCCCCCTCCGCGCCAACTGGTCTGGCGGTGGGCCACCCCAGGTCCATTCGACCAGGCACCAGACCACCCCCGGACCGCCCCCGTGCCTTTTCGGTCCGGCGCCCACCCGCCCCCGGACCTTTTGCCCCAGGCCCCTTGCCCGCCAGGAGGGGCACCCCCAGCCCGGCGACGCCCGCCCCGGGGGCCACATGAGGGTGCGTGGGCAGGGGAGGGGTCCCGCGGAAAAAATCCCGGTTGCCGTCTCCCGCGGCGCCATCCACAAGTCGCTCCCCGCTGGCCAACTGGCCCAGCACCCGGCCAAACCGCGAAACCGCCCGTCCGGCCGGGCGAATGGGTCCCCTTGCGGCCAACTGGCTCCGGCTTCCGCCAGAGGAGAAGGACCCCCAAGACCCCTCGGAGGGGATCTCGGAAGCCAGAAGAAGGAACAGTGGTCTCCGGTAGGCGGTTGGCCTACCCGGTACCCTTTCCCCCCCTCCAAGCACCCGGCGCTGCCGAGCACGTTGATGGGAGGGTGTTATTTGCACAAATCTAGCCAAGGATCGGGCTGACGCTCAGCGACTCGTAGCAACAAGGCTACTTGACCGCGTACACGACCCGCTTGGTCACTTCAGTCGTCTGCAGAGGATTCATCCCCGCGCGAGGTGACATTACAATCCGCCAGCCAGCCCCTAGGGGTTTCTCCCCGGGAGCCGTCGCCAGCCTGCTGAGGTGCATGGCCCGGAGGCCTATTCGTATCCAACTACGACGTGCGGGGCAACATCACCG